TTTCCACAGCAGCATCCGGCTGTCCTCGGCCTCGTGGGGTCTCTGCCGTCCCTCCGTCCCGTTGTCCCCAGCGCCCATCGTCACCTTGTAGCAGTCCATCTTCTCATCCCAGGTGCCCAACAGGGCAAAATGCATCTTCCCCGTGGGGTCTGTCACCTCCCCGGTGACCTGCGGGGACAGGGGACAGCCTAAATCAGGACACCCAGGAGCCACAAGCGCCCCAGCATGTCCCACACCCCCCTTTCAGCTTCCCCACGTCCCCACCTTCCTCGCTACGTCCCGCGAGAAGTAGCTGTAGGGGACGAACTTGAGGACGCACTTGTCACCCGTCTTGTGGTTGACGATCTCGATTTCACCCGACTGCGGAGGGGAGGAGGAAGAGGAGGAGACGATGGTCAGATCCAGCCCACAGCCCTTTCCCCACTGGTGGGGGAAACTGAGGCACAGGAGCTCCCCGCCTCCCTACGGGATGGGGTTCCATCCCACCTGGTCTATCCAGAGCTTGCCCACGATGATGTTGTGCACGGTGGTGGTGACTTTTTTCCACGTGTAGTGGTTGCCGGAAGAGTGGAAGATGCAGTGGATGGTACCTGAGGCGGGGGGGAAGCTGCGCTGGGAATGGTTCCCAGGACACTGGGATGTCCCCAAACCCACAGCACAGCCACCCCCATCCCCATGCATCACCCTGCAGCCGCATGCTCACCCAGAGGCATGATGGAAAGATATTTTCCCCGAAATTTGCTGGTGATTTTGATTTCCTGGCGAAGCGTCCAACCGTGCTTGGACTCGGCGTGGTGGGCGGCAGCCGGCGGATGGTGGCTCACCTGGGTGGGAAAAGGGGACAGCTCAGTGACAGCCACCCCTAGGGGCTGGTGGCTCTGTCAGAGCGGGGCTGGCGGGTACCTGCTCGCAGAGGGAGCGGTAACCATTCTCCTCCAGACGATCCAGCTCAAAAGTTTCCCCCAGGAGGGGGTTGAAAGGTTTGCTGGTGCGGAAAACGGTGGTGGAGTAGGAGGAGACGGTGAAGGCGGCCACGTAACACAGCTGCTCCAGGGAACTCTCGCACTTGGCCGCCCGGTCCAGCAGCTCGTGGTATTCCAGATCCTCCGTCAGGCGCTGCAGCATGGACAGGGGCTCGTTGAAGTTCACCTGGAAGGGAACGAGAGGTAAAAAAGGGGGGTCCTGGG